GAGATGCACAGAAATGAAAGCCAGAGTTTTGAAGCTGAAATGCCAAATTACAAATGTACCTATATTTAAGATTGTAGGTTTAAGTGTCTTACCAAGTCTAATTAGGCAGCAGAGCTGAGAGGAGACCCAGGGTCTCCCAGTCAGGTGTGGATAGACACATGTATGTCATTGACACACAGTGCTTGAGGGCAGACAGCAATGCTGTCTTTCAGGTAGGTTTCTCAAACATTTTCATAGCATGGAAATGTAACCAGTCTTCAGCCTGGCAAATGAGCTTACCTTGTCCCAGTTCTCTGCAGAGGCACAAGCTCTCTTTCCAGCTCTCTCATCTCCTCCCACCTCTGCCTTCCTTCTCTGTTAAGGCTCTGTAGCCTCTGCAGTGAATCTGAAATTTGAATCTGACTGTAAAGCAGCCTTTATTAGAATGCCTGACTATCTCAGATTACTGCCATAAGTGGTGCTACAAAACCAAGAAGGAATACAGATTGACTTGTGTGTGTGTCTTCTTTTTTGCATTCTATAGGCATTTTGATTGATTTTAAAAATATGTTTAACATCTATGTCCTAGACTTGAAGCTCTTGAATTGTAATAAGACCTGAAGTAATCACAAGAAATACCGTAGTGACTGCTGAGAATTATTAGTCAAAAGGATTCTTAAAATGTTATCTTTTCTTTGGAAAGAAAACGGAAAACTTCACCTGAGTTTCTAATTTTCCTTTTGGGACCGTGCTAATTTTAGTGAGCAACTACTAAAGGTAGCTGTCTCTGGGGTCTGTTTTCTTCAGCCTTGACAGTCTAACAACAATATTTTCTGTGCCTGTAAATATGTGCTTTTTTAAGGACAGTTTTAAAGTAGTACAGTCATGGAAGTCTGCCACATTTTCTTTCTGGGCACACAAGTGAAGCCTGATGAAACAGGAAGATGTTACCTGGCTTATCAGATGGATTTTTCCCTTTGTGCCTGGGTAGTGTTAAAAAGCTTATTTCTCCCCATTGTATCCAATCAGCTTTGGTGGGTACATTTCTCAGCCCAGTTCCCTCTGAAAAGAAGTGTTTCTTCAGAGATTTGGAAGGATAATGGGGCAAAGCAAACGGTATAGGTGAGGCAGGGGGTGTGTTGGTGAGCTCATAGTGATCTTTGCTTGAAGTAAGAAATCTAGAAATGCACATAGTTAATTAATATGTGCAGCCATTGGGAAGGAGTCTGCAATTGCCCAGACTGTACTGAAGGCCATTTACAACCTACTGCCTGGTTGGGATTTAAGCGACAGAAACAGCAGCTTATTCCTAAATTTGTCTCCTTGCAGTTCACAAGACCACAAAGAAATACATTATCCAAGCCAGATATATTTGCCAAAAAAACCACTAACTACAGAAAAGAAAAAGGCTATGTTTATATATATAGATGAGTTTTCATGTGGTTTGAAGCTGAAATTATAATGTTTTTTTTTAAGTAGCAACCCATCATTTTCAGAAGTGCCAAGTAGCTGTGTTCTGCCCCACCTGGGCAGCAGCTGCTGTGTCCTTTCTGTGGATCAGGATGTTCTGGCCATTCTGGTCCAAGGAAAGCAGAGTTATGCTGTGCTTGGCTGTGTCATGCTGGCAGAGCTGGAGCTGGACTCAGGTGCTATTGCTAATGTGACAGCAGGTGAATGCCAAGAACTGCATTAAAGCAGGTTACATTACCCTGCTTATGGCTTGCATTCCCCAGCCGAGTTATTGTTTGGGAACCTTGCCTGTTTCATGTGATATGTGTTAATTAGTCATCCTGTGACCATGCATAAAAACTGAGTAGGGCAGCTCTGTAAGGTTCCAAAATGAAGGGAAAATGATGTGAGCTCTTTCTCTGTGTTTTTGTAGGGGAAGCAAATTTTTGGGCTTAACAACACTACAAGTGTTGGACAGAAGTAGGAGACTTCACTAAGATTATTTATAGCCCTACATTCATCCCTGCAGACTCAGCTGTAGTAGCATAACCTTATATTGAGAAAATACTGAGCCCAAAGAGAGGGGCAACAGTGCTGAGAGGTGAAAAATGAAAAGACTTAATGAGAAACAGACAACACTTCAAAAAAGAGAACTGAGATGTGATAAATTTACAAAGAAGGGATCTTAAGTCCTGTCAACCCTTTTACAGTATTGAAGAATGAAAATGGCTTTTGTAACAATGAAGAGCAATATTTAAAATTCTCCCTAGCGTATATTTTAGTGCAATTTATCAGTTACTGCAAAGTGCCATTGAGGACAAGGATACAACAGGGTGCAGGGCAGCTCCAAAAGGCACAATAGAAGTTACTTGGACAACCAGACCTCTGCTTCCTATAATCCAATCTTTTCATTGTGGTGACCAGCCAAGGAAAAGGTGAACAAAGCCTCATTTTTAATTTCACATTATAATGTTTTTAATTTTTCACTTGGTTGTTTTTTTTCTGCCAAGAATGCTGTGCATTTCACTGCTAAGTCAAGGAAAATACACATAAAATACTGTCCTTAGCTTATATAAGTCTGTCTTCCAATGACAAGTTGTGCCCAGGGCAGTAACATTTTATAGATTTGTGCATAGTTGCATTGCAATTGCCTTTACTTGTTTTTCTTTAAATAGAGAATATTGTTCCACTGCTCTTTCTCTAGGTAGCTGTTTTTACAGCTCAGTACACTTGAGCAAACTGATGTGATTTTCCTCTGTAAGTGGCTTTTTCTGCTTCAAACACTGGCAATTCATGCGTTTCGGGTGCCAGATGGGCTTTCATCTAATGCCCAGAACTAAGTGATTGGATTTTCTTGTGTGGATCAATCCAAGTTACTGTGTCCATCCTTCACTCCTCTGCTTGAAGGGGCTAAGCTATGGGAATCAACAGCTGTGTAATATTGAACATTTCTGGGTGACTCAAACTACAGAATACACAAAAAAACTAGAGAGTAAAAAAAATAAAGAACTAGTCACCTGGCTATTGTACTTCATTAAAATAAAGGTTTTATTAGAAAATTAATTCCCATACTAGGGACTGATGGTGAACCATGCCAGACAGTTACATTTTGATACCCGGTCATTGCAATTTCAGCCAAAAAGCCTCATCATAGAATCATAGAATTCCAGGTTGGAAGGGACCTCAAGGTCTGGTCCAATCCTTCTTGGAAGGAGCGTGGGTTAGATGAGAATCAGAGCCAGCTTTGTTAAGATCTGTGTGGCAAAAAACTCAGGAGGTCTGATTCTGGGAAGTCAAAGTGGGGTTCACCATACACGCAGTCTGGGGAAGGTCACTGCATCTGCCATTTCTCAGGTTTTGTCAGTGCCCATCAAGCTGCTGATGGATTTTCAGTTGGTTGCTCATGTTCATGTTGGCTTGTCAAAGCAGTCCTCATTTCAGGCTTCCTCTGGAGCCTCATTCCCAGGGTGATGCTGGCTCAGTTGAAGTATGTGTCATACAGCTGGTACTCAAATTCATGCTCTGATTTTTTAGGAGGTTTTTTACTTGTGCAAAGATGGCAGCCGTGTGCTGTCCAGGTCACACGTGAGGGCCTCTGGTCTTTCCTGAATCATTTATGGACTGATCATCCCACAGCTTAGCCCTGCTGTTTAGAGTTACAAGTCACACTGCACAGTATTTTACTCTGTTTGGTTTTGGTGGGGTTTTTCCACATTTTCCTGGACTTTGCTTTGGCAAGGGGCCAAAAGGACAATCTTTAGAAATAACAGTATAGGTTGTTTGCCATTATGGGTTTGTGGATGCCTTTTTGCACCAAGCCTTGAGGCCACAGGGAGGGACGTTTTCCTTGCCCACAACCTCTCCAGGCAAAGCACAGAAAGCCAGCTGCTCCACATGTGGAATCCAGGATGGACTCTTGGGTAAACTTAGAGGGTTTAAGCTCAGTTAAGACATCTCATTACTTTTCCCAGTATTTTCCCGTCATTTCAAGAGCATGGTTTGGTTGAACTGACTAATTGTGTGGCTTCCTTTATTTTTTAATTAAATTTCTGTAATGTTGACATATTTTCGAGAGCAGGGCATGCCAAAAAATGTTAAATTTTAGCACAAGTGGAATTAAAGTGAGGCCCACTGGAAGGAAAAGGAACCAGGTAGTCTTCATGTTTATCAGCACAGAAAAAGATTTGGTGGTATAGCACTGTGTGGGTAAACTTGTTCCCTGAAAGAGAAGAGTTTCAAGCAATATGACTTAAATTGGTTTCCCTAATGAATTAAAGTGTATTAAGAGGAGAAAGAACAGGGATGATGTAAGGGTTTTGCTAGCACTGCTATCCTCTTCTGAAGGATGTGTTTAATTCTCTTAATTGACATAATGTTGGCACTACTTTTAAGTGCTTAATTAGGTTGTCGTTCCTCCCTAGATGAAATGTGTGTGAACATACAATTATTCAGGAATAGCTTCAAGCATTGGCCAATTTTAGAATGGATCAAAGTGTGTACAGCCCATGATGAGTTAATTGGGAACAGTGTAAAGAATATTGAAACATTTTTTTCCCATATGACTAAGTTGGCTGTACTGGTGTATGAGACACAGGTACAAGCTTCCTAGGCCAGGAGGTCTCAGAAGCTTTTATCATGTACTGAGCTACTTCCAGGCTTGCTTACAGTCTCTTCTTTAAGGAGTATTCCCGTTTTTAACTAACTGTCATCTGGCTAAAATCCTTCTCTTTAGGCTGTTACTCAAGTATTTCTGACATTGTGCCTAATTTGAAATGGACTGAAGACCCAAGGAAGAGTCATTTTCTTCTTTGTTTTTAAAGCCTAGATACTTCTATAGTAAAACTTTCCAAGTCCAGGAGAGCAAGACATCTGTAAGGATTAAGTTTATACCTTTGCTTGGAAGCTGCAGAGGGGCATGGTGTGATTCTGTGGGTGAACATTGGTCCCTTCATCTTCTACTGCATGTGAATATTCAAGTGGTTGGTGTTTTGTGTAAGCAAAGACATGCAAATGTGACTTGTCCTAACTACTGGCTGATTTCTGTCTTTTGATCTTTCCATGTAGGTGACATTTTAGATGAGGGAACAAGGAAAGACCTTTTCACTGACACTTTCTGTAAGGTTTGCAGGGCAGTTCTGCAGTTTGAGTCCCACAGGATGTCACACTATAAGGTAGGCTGGGAGGGAGAATTTCTCCTAGCAAGCACTGGGGCTTTGATTTCTTTGTTTTGGGTTTCTGTGTAGTGTTGTAGAAGATTTTTATAGTGTGTTTCTCAAGGCTTACACTAGGCTTAGACATTAACCAGACCTGAATGTTGTGAGAGTTGTGAATTCAGTGATGGAGAAGGGCAATCACCTGCATGTTGCAGCAGGACTTGAGAAGGAACTGAGCAGGTTTGGGCCACGCTGTGTGTGGGACTGAAGCAGATCTGAGCCAGAACAGATGTCTGGCACGGGGCAGTGCTGACTATGGAGGATCCAGGCCATCCCTCCTGACACCTCACCCAGCCACGCATACCTGGTGCTCTGGGCACCGGTGTCTGCTTGGGGCCGGTTGCATGAATTATGCTGAAGGCATTTCTTGGAACAGCTGTGTGCCTTGGGATGTTGCTGCAGACATGGGCAAGCAGGCTTTGTTTTGAAACTTTATTCTGAATCCTGAGGATGTGCAGGTTTTCAGGCACAGGCATTTCTGTCTTTTTCATTCCTCTTGAAACAGTTGAAGTTCAAAATGTCATTTGCTGTCAGCAGCTTTTCCTGCTGTTTGCTTTATTAAGACTCAGGTCTTGCAAGGTGGTGTATTTACTTCAACTTAAGCAGCAGCTGTGCTGTCACACCTTTGCAGAGTTCAGACCCTCTGATTGATGTCCTGTTTCTTGGATCCAAATCCAGTTGAGGATAATGGGTGCTGTTACCTGACTTCACCATTACAAATCAAATTGTTGGAAATAACTGACTCTTTTTTTCTTAGTTGTATTATCTAGCCAGGTATGATAGGACCCCTTTCTCTTTGATAATATTGTTACAATATTCTGCACTGCTCCTCAGAATCCTTAAAAAGCATCTGAAAAGCATGAGGTCAGAGAAGGCAAGTCCCTTCTTTTGCTTTATAGGGTACCACTATATAGTGTGGCACGTGGGTAAGTACATTGCAAGTTCAAGAGTCTGAAGGTTGTGAGTTGAGAGAACATCTAAGAATTAAGAAATACTTGCATCTGAAGGAAGTATATGTTAACACCCAATTTTAGTTATCTATTTTATCCTCACTAAAAAGGTGCAGAAATCTCCATAGACTTACTCTAAGCTGGAGATACTTTAACTCTACTTCCAGGAAAACCTGTTTCTCTCCACTGTCTGTATGGGGAGACTAGACTTGTTATTTAGGAAGGTAAGTTGAATCGTGCTGTCTGTCATTCTTCTGTGCCAGGACATTGGATGGCCTTGATGTCAAGCCTCCAGGCTTAGTGGTAAAGGAGCAGAACAGACTTGCTGGTAGCGTGGCTGCATTCCTTTCCTTACCTATGCTACCATCTCTGTGTGTAAGGAGACATGTAAGGATTTTTTCATTCCCCAAAGAGTTGAGAGTAGATGACTCTGAGGGCTCCTCGAAGCAAAGTCTTATGAGTGATGCTAAGTGCTATATTATTGATTAAAGTACAGCACTGTTACAAGAGCAGGCATTTGTGGCTCTGCTTTAAACAAATACAATCTGGCAAGTGCTGAAAGCAGCTTTTGATTAATGAAGTCCCTCCCAGTCACAGGATATACCACTGCCTGGTACTAGAACAGGAATAATTCTAGTCTCTTGCCAGGGCAAAAAGCATGCTCAGAAAGTTCGTCTTTACATCCAAATGCATGGTGAGAAAAGTGAGAGACAGGAGAAGGATTTTATCAGTTTCCAGGTGATTATTGCTCTTCATGACTAAACAAAATTATTCCTTGTACACTTCAGTAAATGGTTGTAACTGTGCTTGCCCTTGCATGGTTTCAGGTGAATGGGAGCGAAGTAGTGGACAAAAACAAATACTGCAATCTCTGCAATATGGTTTTTAGTTCCCCAGTCGTTGCTTTGTCTCACTACTTGGGAAAGATCCATGCTAAAAAGCGGAAGCAATTATCAGGAGTCCAAGTCCACATGCCAGCACAGAGCATGCAGCCTGTTCCTGGTAAGAACAAAATAGTTTGTTTTGTATATGTTTTCCTGTCAGTTTTTGAGACAAATATAGAGAGCTATCTTCCTACACCTGCCATGTCTTTTCTATTCTGCCAAAGTTGTGGAGCTGTCTTGTGGTAACTCCTTAGATACAAAGATACCCTGTGCAATTCTGAAGCCATGGAACCTTGCTTTCAAATTCCCTATCTTTCATTGACTGAAACGAAAAGCAAGTATTTCTGATTTTTTATTAATTAAAGGTGTTTATTATTGTTCTGAGAATTCAGTGCAGTCCCAACAAGGTGTTGCATAAATTAATACAATAAGAAATTAAAATCAGTAAGTTCACGAGCAACACTAAACTGATGTTTGTCCTTTACAAGTTGCAGGACTGTATTTAAGAGACAGCATAGAGTATGCGCTCTGAATCAGCCTCAGTGGGATCAATCTCTCTTTCTTGGACTCTGTAAGGACCTTAGAGCCATCAAACACAGCTGATTTGTAGATACCTAATGGTAGGGTTTCTGAATAATTCATGGTTGTCTTCCTTGCCAGTCTGAACTTTCATATCCTTGCAAGGACTATGCTATTTTACAGTCTCTTGCAAGTATTTCAGCATGCAGCAGACTGTTCTTTCCAGCTCTGTAGTTTTGCAGTCACCTGTTTTGCTCTGTGGAATTGTTCTAGCCTTTCCTTGGCTGTCCTGTCAGCAGATTTACCCTCTGCTTCCATGTCTCCAGCTTTACAGAAGCCATTGGCTGAGAAACCTTTGCTGCCTTTAAAAGCTGAAGAGTCTTCATCATCCTCCAACTCAAAGCTGAACTTAAATGATCCAGAAAAGTACTGCAGGCTCTGTTGTGCTCCCTTCAATAACCCAGTCACAGCCCACCAGCATTATGTTGGTAAGAAACACAGAAGAAATGAAGCACGGAAAAAGCTATTGGAGGAGCTGGGAGACAAAGCCATCCCTGCAGAATCCAGCACAAGTGGTAAGCAGAGCATGAGCAAGTGGTACAATCTCTGAGTGTAGCTCAGATTGGTTGGTTCTGATTTGTTCAAGGAACTGCTCTGATTTGTGCAAGGAAATGATGGTCTTCTCCTGTGTTACAGAACAAGTTCATTTCTTCCTTTCTGTTTGGTCTGTGAACTGCTAAAATTCTGTCTCTGACAGCTTGGAAAATATTTCTTATTGACTTGGACACCCAAAGCCAGTACTTAAGGAGTTCTGCAGTCAAATACAAAGGGTCACAGGAAGTAGCCCGGTCCCCTAAGTCCAAGGCCAGGATCAGTTGTATCTGTGTCATTCTACCCAGTTCTGAAAAACCATCTGTGCTGGAAGCTCCACAGCCTCCATAAGGAACATAACCCAAGACTTTTGGTCTTTCCCTTCTTGATCTTAAAACCTTCAAGCTGACATTGAACTCAGCTTTCTCTGAGGACAATGTGTTTCTTCGCTGTGCACAGAGCAAGAAGCAGACACAAGAATTTAATAATTTGTTTGCTTTCTGTCACATACTTTAAATAATTGAAAGCTGGTATCATGTCTTCCCTTAACCTTTTATTCATTAAAATGGTTTCAGTCTTTCCACATAAGGAAATTTGTTCCCTAAAGTCATTGTTCTCTAGCCTCCCATCAGGACTGTCTCCAGCTCAGGCACTGTGTCCAAAGCCAGGGCCCTGTTGCTGTGCAACTTCCATTAATTCTGAGGTCCTGACAGTCATTTCTTTAGCAAGGAATTCAAAATTCTAATCCAAAGTCAAAAGTCACTGTTAGTATAAAACAGCTCTATTGAATTCATATATATAACAAAATAATGTGTTTTGATGCAATGCAGCAGCCCACTGTAATTAATGCTGCATTTTGCTAATAGGTGAAGTTTGCACAGGGGAGATGGTTTCAGAATACTGAGGTCTATGGATGACAAATATAGGAGAGGAGAAAATGCCTAGAAAAGAGCCTAGAAAATACAGGGATTTTCCTCATCTGACCTTACCTTCTGTTTGCCTGAGGCTCCATGTACCATGTTCATAATGTACTGTACTTACAATGCTCAGCATCTTTGCAGGGCTGAACCAATGCTGCACTAGCAGGTAATGTTTAAACTAGTCTTATTTTAAAGAAACCTCAGCTGTCTTGGTTGGTATCTGTTGGTGCTTGCTTTGGGCCAGGTATTAACAATAGGATTTAATTTTTCAGTACAGTTCATTCTCATCAGCACTTGACAGCAGTTTACTGGAATTATCTTGGATCACTTCAGTCATCAGGATACTCTCTGTCAATGTTTACACTGTGGTTGCACTGCAGCTGCACAGCTCCCTTCATAAATATTCTGCTAGTGTGAAATTGCAGCAGAGGCTTTTTGTCTGTCTATAAACATTGTTTATGGGAACATGGTGTTAGGACTCTTGCGTGGGATGGGATCGTGATGTGCTTTGAGTTTTGCCTTTCATTTTCAGTCTCTCTAACCTACAGGTTCCTTCTTTTCAGCAATTGGGGCTGGTTATTACCTGTGCCCCGTGTGTGACATCACACTTACATCCATAGAAACCTACCAGTCCCACATGCAAGGCAGCAAGCACCGGAATAAGTAAGTCTTTTGTTACTATCCCTCTGGAGTTGGTGCTTTCAAACTTTTTCATTAGCCCTTTTGTCTGCTGTTAAGTGACTACCTGGTTTGGGGGGGGGGGTTGGTTTGGTTTGGGGGTTTTCTCGTTATTTGATTTACTGGTTTAAAGGGGCACTGTGCATTCAAATGTCCTGCTTGTGACTGGAATTCAGTCTTGGAGTTCCCACAGTTGCATCTTCAATGACAACCCACAGGGGAGAGGTCCTGAAGCCTGTACAGTTTTCCCACTTTGCTGTCTGGGGACAGCAGCACCTGGTTTGGTACAGTATCTTCAGTGCTTTAATCCAGAAGGAAATGTTCTGAACTTAAAGATTCCTACATGACAGGGCAAAGAAAACATTAATCCCAAAAAGTGCCAAGTTTCCATCAATGGTGTTGCTTTGAGGATTCCTCAACACGTATCTCACGTTTGGCCTAAGATAATTTATCTCTTGTACTTTCCCTTTCACCCAGTAGAGGGCTTGGAGACTCTGCGAATCGCAGGGTGGATGTGGTGGTGATTCAAGAAGCACTTTTTTAGAGCTTGCAAATCGGCTAAATGTCAAAAGTGCTTACGTGTTAAGAATTGGGATAAGATATGTTTTAAGTGAAGGTGCAATAATAATAATAATCTAATCACAAGACACTGATGTAGAGCTCATATGATTTGAAATGTTTGTTTAGTCAGTAGAATTAGACCCCAGAAACAGGATTGTAGGGAACTGCTCCAGGACTATCTGAGGTTTCACAAAATGAATGTGTAAAGCTAGTAAATTAAGGCAGAACAAGATATATTAAGGGATGGGGTTTTGGAGCTGCCCTTCCCACAGGTTATATCCTTTGTCATGTAACCACTTTATCTTCCAGGCTGAGGAGAGTGGAATGTAAACTTATGGGTAAGTTTTGGCTTTGAAGCACATTTATCTTCAGGGCTTTTAGCAACCCAGGTTGGTTGTTTTTGTTCTGCTTTGTTTCTGCTGTGGAGTCACACAGTTTGACTGAAGTTACTGCAACTGTTCAACAGAATGAATCTCATAAAGAAACTGGTAACTTTATTACTTGACAGACAATGTATAATGTATTTGCTTCCTATCTGCTGCTACTTGGAGATAAGTTCATAAAATAGAACCTTGAATTTTCTGTTTAAAAAGTAGTTTTAAAAATGTCTACAGTCCTTTCCAAAGCATCTTATTCCTCAAGCACCCTAGGTCACAAGAAACTCATTTGGTCTGCGTGAAGTCACTCTGGATTTTCAGTTTTCATAAAAGAGTAGAATCTGTTCCTGTAACTAGAGCTTTGCAGATCTGATCATGTGGAACAGGGTCCATGTAGTTACACAGAACAACACACCTCTTTTTTTTTTAACTCAACAGGTGTGAAGCAAATTGATTAGTATTAATAACTAAGCCTTTCTATCCAATTTATGCAGAGAAACAGTGCTTGCTAGTCTCAGGAAGAAATCAAATAAAACAAATTACTCCTTTCAAGATGAATTAACAGATCACATTGAGGCTCAGAAAGCTGGAGATCTACAGCCAGGAAGGTCTTTAGGAAAAGCAGGAGAAGAAGAATTTAAAGACAAAAATATTGAAGGAGGAAGTAACCGTGGTGAGGTTTTATCTTCAGACTTTAACTGTGCAGAAGTCCAGCATTACAGCCTTTTCTCTGCAACACAGTGGTCTATAACTAGTGGTGAAAACAGATCACCAAGCTGGCCATCCGCTGGTGATCATGCACTAGAAAAGACACTTAGTTGTCACGATAACAAGAGATTATGTAAAGTAGAGCAAGCATCTGAGATGGCCACCATCAGAGAGAAAAGCTTCAGCCTGCTGGTTGCACAGTCTGAAGGCTGCTACAAACTTAGGCTTGCTGAAACTTTCACCAACTCCTACAAAAAAGAAGAGAAGTTTCAGATAGAACATTTTGAGGAGGAAAAATATGCCAGTGAAGAGCTGAAGTATGAGAAAGGAACCACAAGGCAGAAAAGAAAGACAAATAGCGAAGGTGCAAATTTTGGAAAAGAAAATGAGAAGCAGAAGAGAATTAAAGTTGAGATAGGCTTGGGAAAGGAGAATAAATCAAGACCTTATAAAGACATAAGTCTTAAAGAAAACCCCGCTGAGAAAGAGAACAAAAAGCCCCAAAATGGTAAAATGAAGTCACAGACAAATGTGAAAAGAGAAGAGGAGCTACTCTGGGATGAATCTGTCTTGGGATATTGACAAAGCTTTTGCTTAGCTTGAAGAAGTTGATTCTGTTGGTAGATTCACTTAACTGTTTTGTTCTATACTATGACTTTTTGGGGTTTTAAGCAAAGTTTGTGTTCTAATCTGGAAGTGAGAAAAAGTTTGTTTTCTGAGCATTTGGGGCAGTAGGTAGGCATCAATTTGTAATCATCTTACACATACAGCAGCCATTGCAGTTAACCCAAGTTTGAAAGTCTGTAATCCTTTCTGGAATATACCACAAATAAGGGTCAGAAGTTTGTGGAATCCTGTTGGAATGTTACCAAAATGTATAGTTTCTTTCTCATATTAATGGTGCCTCCTGCTGAGCATTCTATTACTCTGCTAGGAAAGTACATAACTCGTAAGACAAATAATGGCACTACAGTGTTCTCACCCAGTTGTGTCTGTAACTATTTCTCTGACAGATTTAAAATAAGAATGTGAAAAGCTTTTGATCCCAGATCTTTTTTGTTATTGGGTTGGGGTTTTTTGTTTTGGTTCAGTTTGGGTTTTTTGTCACCCAGTTCTGAGTGTAAAATTTTGAGTCTATTAAACATGCAACTGGTCGTCAAATATACATTGTCTGGTAGATTCTTCTAATTGCATCCCTGGTTTCCTCCTTCTCTCAAAGTAACGTGCAGAAGGAATGTTAGAATGAAGCTAGACTTGTGACCTGTGCTCTGAGAACAATGCTCTGAAAAATAAATACAGCTTTGTTTTTTCATTTCACATGTCATGTCACCAGACACTCATTCACAATATGGATTTACTTTACTGTGGCAGGAGCACTGATATACTGCATATGCACAATGAGTTGAGAAACTTACAGGGTTCCAGCTCTTCCAGTGCTCCCAGATCTCTCAGATGGGACCTTCAATGAGGCATGGACACAGGTGGACTGCCTGAGAGGAGGAGAGGAATTGCAGCTTCTGCCTGCACTGTGCAGAGCTGCGGTTGTGTAAACAATTGGAAGTGTGTGTGATGCCTTCCTGAAAGCTGCTGGACTGGGTGAATAGTTGTGTTCTGAAAAGCAAACACTTAAAAGCAGTTTCTAAAGACACCTTTTAGTATCTCTCTAACTGCCTTCAGGTTGCAAGAGAGCTTTTTCTGAGCCTTGATGTGGGTTCTGAAAGCCACCAGGCTGTTGGGTTGCACCACTCAGGCTGTGCTTCCCACTGGGTTAGTCTCTTTGTAGAGGCACCTGTGCTGAGCTGCTGCTCTCCATGAACCTGCCCAACTGAAACTGTCTGTTGTGGGTCCTTGTGGTGTGGGATGGAGTAGAGACCAGGACCCAGGACCTCAAACCTTGAACTCTGCCTGATTTTTCTTAGTTTTAATTTTGCAGGTGTAAGAAATAGGTTGAAAAGCCCTGAAAATAATGTAGGCTGCTTTGGTTTTTAAGTATTTGTGTGCTGTGGTTGATTTCAATCTTGGATTTAGATTTTTCCTGCTGCAGATAGAGTTATAAATCTGAGTTGTTGGCATCTGAGGTGTCAAGTAACTTAGCTCATCCTATAACAGACAAGCTTAACTAGGTATCTGCAACTAAACGAAGTTGAACAGGAACATGCAGGTGCCAACATCAGTTCTTTGGTCAGGAGTCTTGGGAACCTGAACTTGAAGGTCCGCGGGGATTCAGCTTTCAGTTCAAAGGATACAAAGGATCCTTGTTGTGCTCCCCTTTTGTCATTTCCTCCGTGCTTTTATGCAGGCTGATAACACCTCTGCTTTCTTCAGTGGCTCTTGTTCCTCACTCAGAAGTTACATGGCTTTCCATGTCTTTCCAAGGACTCTCCCTGGCTTTCCCTGGTCCCTGCTCATCTAAGAGGAAGTCCCAAGTCAAACACCTATCACTGCTTTTCATATTATTTACTTGGGGTGGGCGTGGATTCAATCATAACACACTCCTGCAAACTTGATGAGAGTTGAGAGCTGTTGTAAACTGCCCTTCAGTGTAACCGGGGAGGTTTTTCAGCATTCTCTCTGTCACAGATGAAATATTTTGACACCGTTATGATTTATCAGCAACTGAATATTTATTAATCAAAAGGTTGAATTTTTGCAGCACTTAATCATTAAACAATTTAATGATTAACAAGTGATTGTGCAGAATATATTATAATCAAAACAGAGACTCAATTACAGATTTGAGAATGACAAGATTCACACTAACTTACTACAAAGTACCTTAAATCAAAGTGTATGTGAACCTACATATGTATAAACACAAAACACACCAACCCAGACAGACAGAAATATTTGGATCTAGTGAAACATATAGACACCCACACTCTTAAGGGCAAGTGTATATTCCAGCACAGAGAGAGGCAGAGAGGTGGCTGGAAGAGGGCAGCCTACAGCTCACACTTACAATGCGTTGTCATTCCTTAGGGGGTAATAATTGAGACTCAGGGAGGATGATCTCTCCCTGGCCTTCCATCAGCTTTGCTGGCAGATGATCCTCAAGGAGGTTGTGCTGGAGGGGTGGCCCAGCCACGTTCAGTGGCCTGTGAGTGCCAAAAACGTGCTGCTCTGCAAAGTCACGGTCACTTTTTTTATAGTTTGTTTTCCTTTTGATAATTTTTTATACTTTGGTTTCATGACTGGCTGCAGCTTGTGAAAACTTTGCTGTCTGAAAAAAGCCACAGCTGGAACACCCTGTGAAGAGAGCACAGACTTGTTTTCATGGTGGAAAGGTTTCACTTGAAGTCTTGTGCTGAAAGGCAGAACCTCTGCAGCTGCCTCACACGCCCTGAGCTGGGGCTGTGGTTTCAGTGGGCACACTGGGGATGACACCCAGCAAGTGAACCCTGCTGGTGGCCCAGGAGACAGGTCCTGAGCACATCTCACCTGCTGACTTGCCCAAGCATGTTCCTATAAAGATTGAGAGGCACCTGAGTGAACTCAGTGTAAATCACCTGAATGCAACACCCAGAGCTGCATCTCAGCTTCCCCATGTGTCTGTTGAAGCAGATCCCAGTGTAAAGCAGTTGGCTGAGCTAGTGAGAGGGCTATCAACATTTCACTAAATTAAGGGATTTTTTTTCAGTACAGAGCTCTGCTGTCCAACAGCACAGAAGCTGACAAGGTGCTTAATAGCTCTTTTTATCAGCCAGAACACCAAGCTGAAAGCACCGGGGTGAGGACTGGAAGATTTGCATCCTCTTCCCAGCCTTTCCACAAGCTTCTCCTGTGATTTGCAGCTGCCAGGAACATGAGCTGTTCCAACTGCAGCTTTTTTAACCTTAACATGGAATCACTTTTGCTTTTTCTTCATATCCACTGATGGGAATGACGTGAGGGAGGAGGTTACAACCCTGCCATATCTGCTGGTGTCTTTCCAGCTGTACCTGTTTTCTATCCTGCTTGTATTTTCAGAATGAGGCAGTGAGCAGCAAGGCACAGTGTCTTTTTAACCCCAACCATCTGTAGCAGTTCTTAACTACGTCCTTAAACTGGTGATAAATCCAGGTATCACAAAAATGGGTCACCAAAAAAGTAATAAATAGGAAACCATAAATATGTACAGTGCCATAAATCTTCCTGTGGGAAAGCTTTGGAGCAACCATGTTCCTCATCTCCAGATAAGCTGCTTCCAAGCAGCTTGATTTACAGTTGCAAGCAATGAAGTGCTATTTCAACCAGTGATTTCTGGCAGAGCCAAGGTTTAGGCATTGATTCCTATCAAAATGTAGAAAATTCTGCTTTGGTTTCAGAGAGCCACAGCAAACTGCCTGCACAGCTTTGCTCCTGGGAGTGTGCTGGCAATCCCTCCTGCTCCAGGGTGCAGGCATAAATCTCAATTCCAACACGTGTCTGACATGTCCACAAGTCCTGAACACCTGCAGGGCTTCTCTCACAGTTGGGCTTCATCATAGGACTGATGCTCCACAACATTGGGCAAAAAAACAGACCCTCAGGTCACAGACCTTTTCTTTTGGCATTGACAGACTCAGGTCCTTGCTGTTTCTCTACTTAAGACATGAAAGTTTGAAATGAAACCAAAATCTCTGTGGGGGGAGTGTGAAAAAAGTGGTATATTGTATTGGTTTTTTCCTCCAAGAGCTGTGGGGAAAACAAATCATCTGTGTGGGGGAGGGAGGGGAGATTTCAAAGAAACCTTTCAAATGAGGTAGGATTTCTTAGAATTAGCAATGAAACTGTTCACAGCAATGTTCTAAGCACCAAGCTAACAAACAGTTGAAATCAAGTTATTTTCCCCAAAACTAAGTGCTGGGTGATTCCAAATCACCCACACTGTAAATTCAAGCTGCACAGGCTGAACCATATCATGCTGTATGTGAAATGCATTGACTGATTCCTCTTGCTTGTGGCTAAGCTTTTTCCCTCAAAATGTTTCTTTTGGAACTACATTGCATCAGTCTCTCTTGGTGCTATTTCTGAGCCACCCCCTCCCATTGGTAGCTGGCAGGAATGATGATTTCTGTTTCTCCTCACTCCCCCATGTCAGTGCCATGGCCATGGTAAGTACCACACTGAAGCACCAGGGTGTACATGCGGGTGCTCCTCAATGTGTTCATCAGAACTCTGAAGCCTGTATCCTTATCTTCAATTGACTTCACCTGCAAATGAAGTCCTGGCCTTGAGGGCACGATGGGAGAAGCTGTGGGTTCTTTCAGCATCAGCTCCTTTCCTTCCTACCCTGCCTTCAGCCTTTCTCAAATCCACGTTTAGTGCTTAAAAAAGAGGAAAAACCACTCTGCCTTGCTCAGCTTCACCCCAGTAATGCTCCTCTCTTGCTTTGTGCTCCCCGTGTTGCTGCAACATCAGGAAACTGGTTGCATCTCTCTCTGGTCAAATGAGTCACCCAGGCAAGGTGTCCTGTCACCACTGAAATGTTAGACTTCTCAGCAGTTTGCAGGATTTGGCTCTTTTTCACACATCTTGGAGGCCAATAGAAGTTTTGGTGCTGTGGCACCATGGAAGTCCAGAGCAAAGGACCATGCAGGATGCACTCAGCTCTCATGTGCTTC